ATTCCAGACAGCCAATTTTTTTTCTTTTTAAACTTTATTTTTCAGTATAGCATGGTTCGAGACAATTATTTCTTTACAACCATTTTTTCCTTTTTCTCAAAAATAAAGAGAGGAAAAGAAAAGAAAAGGAAAAAGGAACACAGAGGGCAGTTCTTACCCCTTATTTTGCAAGTGGTTAACAAAGAGGTCCACATAGTCTGTTTATTAAGCTTCAAGCTCTTTAAACGCTGTCCATTTCCTCCATTTCTGATGGTCCAGTAGCGTGTGATCAGTTTTCATCCAGTTCCCTGTGATAGCCTTTTTGCATGCAATGATCAAGACCTTAAATAGATAAACATCTCCTTGTTCTATTACTTTCTTAGGTATGGCTCTTAGCAGACAGCCAATTTTACTTGGATTGCCCACATGAAGATAAAGCACATCAGTCAAAACATCTTGAGCTAGATGTGTCTGTCTGAGTTGCTCAACATCGTCTTGAAAGTGTTCAGAGAAACCAGATCTCTCAGATTCAGGTCTTTTTGTAGATCATTCCAAGTATGTGGAGCTGCAAACCTGAATGCCTTTTTTCCCAGTTCAGGTCTTACTTTTGGAACAGACAATAAAGAAAGGTCCTGGGATCAAAGATAATGAAGTCCTGTGCTCTTCTGACTGATGTTGGTCAGAAGGTAGGACGGGAGCAAACCGAGAATACATTTACAAATAAGAATACACCAGTGATTGAGTCTGCATGCAGACAAAACCATCCAACACGAGCATACAGCAAACAAAGATGAGTAAGAGATTTAAAATTAGTGATGAACCTCAGAGCTCCATGATATACAGTATCCAGAGACTGTAAGCTTTGAGAGGAGGCGTGCACAGTATTCCACAGCTGAATCCATTTTTATTGTCAAGTTCTGATTCTGTCTGTGTTGTCTGTGTAATGGAAATTATAGTGCTCTATATTTGCATGTGTAAGGTTACATGTATTCAATGTCTTAGTGGCACATAACCTTATAAAGTGCTCGTAGAGATGAGTCTGGAGGCTACAACCTATCACTCAATTCATAAATCAAGCAAAGAGAGTGTGTGTTGTGATGACCAAGTTTATTTCAGTGCACCAGTCTCTGTGTGTTTTTATTTGTGTTCAACTTTGACTCAGACCACTCATGTTTCAGTGTGCTCTTAAAATAAAAACTAAAGTTATAGGACAAATTAATAAATGGTGCATTGCAGCCAGATCTAAAACTTAGCCATTGAATTAGGTCTCATCCAATATTCTGCTTAAATTAATAATGTCCTTCACATAAACTCTCACATAATACATGTCTTATTCCCGCAAACCACTGATTTCTAGCAGGAATAAAGGCGCTTTGATGTTGGGCCATTAAGACTCTTTAGACAAGAATGGTAAAAGTGAGCTTTTAGTCGGGAGAGCAGCTGGGGCGCAGAAATGACACTTTCTTCTCATATCTCATTCTCTAAATGGGGTGAATTATTGCTGTCAACACATGCATTACCTCCCGAGCCTTATCCAGTCAAACATATGGGCACGCACACACACACACGCGCGCACACACACATCCTTGGAGGCTTGCATTGTTTGTTGGGAAATAAATCAAAATCGTGACATCTTACGGCACTATATGATGGAATTTCAAGGACAGCAGGAAACAGGATTCGAGCTTGAACCGAGCTGCACAGAGAAAGATTTCACAACATACCAAATGCATTTTGCTCACTGAATTAATTGTTTTAAGCATATTTACAGTTACTATTCACACTTATATGGTGCAGATGAAAGTATTAGCCCTGACTCTCTACTCCACTCAACCCTCTGTTCCTCCAACAGTCTTTGGATTACTGTGGGATGGCCAGTAAAGCATATGTGGAGTGCTGCAATAGTTAGGATAAAAAAATAAGAAAAGAAAAAAATCCTGTGAAAATAAACAAGGACAAAGATTTGCACAACATGCTCCTGCTCACACATACCAACACACACAGTCACCCACAGTCCCTCACATGTCTCGCCCACAGCCCTTCTGGGCTAGTCTCCATGGTAACAACAGCAGGGATGGTGTCCTTGGCAGAGATGGAGGGATGAAGCGATGGAAAGACAGAGCAGGACAGAGAGGGAGAGAGAGAGAGAAAATGAGACAGAGAGAGAGAGAGAAAAAGAGAGAGAGGAGCAGACACTTGTTGAGCGGTTAAAAGGATGCCTTGACATTCTGAATTTTAATCTGGTGTAAATTATGTTCATTGTCCCTCAGGCTCTCTTCTTGTTTCCCCCTCAGTGCATTTGAGATGAGAACCAGTGATGCAACACACTTTTTCTTCAGGGATTGGTTGACATTTTCACTTTATTTCAATTATTTTCTTTTAACAAGTTGTTTCAGCAAGGACAATATCTCTCCTCTCGCAGCCACCTCCGCGGCTTTGTTTACATTATTCAGTACAAACGGTGCATTCAACTTTTCAGCTTTAGTGTTGACTCAGTTTGCCTAGAGTGGATATGCACACATCAAAAATTTACATTATGTGCCAGCTGTGCTTATAAAAGACTTTATTTTTTCCATTTGGGTTTGCTTCAACAGATAAGATTGTGGCAAAATGTCATGATGCCCAGTAGGTAGCATACCAAAATGAAACGCAGTTTTCACACAAAATAACAGCAGAATGTCGTTAATAATCAAAAAGCTCGACTTGCCATTTCCGGAGGGAGCGTGATTCTTTTCAATCTCGGCTCTGAGTCTGCTTTTTAAAGAGCCTTTTCTGATATCAAAAAAGACAACTCAGTGAATTAATGACATTTTCACACTGTATTAGCCTGATTCTAAGAAATGCCCTCTGAGGCACATTTTCCACAGAGTCACATACTTCACATACTCACAAATGCCTCAGTGCTTCAGTTGAGTCAACACATCACACAAAAGCTGCTTTGGCTTCAACCTTGTATTTGATTCTCTATAATAGTTCAAAAAACTGTTATCTAAACCTTCAATGGCTGTTCTTAATCTCAGAGTGTTACTTATTATTAAGAAACCATTGACCATGGTTAATCTTGAGTTCTGTGCTGTTGTACTGAAGGTCTAGTTCTTGTTTTCTGCTTCCTAATGTCTTGGTTTGTATCATTACTGCAGATTGATTGTTTGCTCAGAAGTCTTGAGTTTCCTGGCATGAATAGAGAATTATTCAGTGTAAACAGTCAGTACTCAGCCAGTATGTGAACACTTTCACTACTGGATTGATGCCTAAGAACAGTGACCATGTTCATGCACCATGTGGAAGCAGTCAGATGAAGTTCAAGCAAGCCATCAACCACCTTAAGAAAGGGCCCTATAAAATTTAGACTTTTTTTTTTTTTTTTTTTTTTTTTTTACAAATTCAAATTTTTTCATAAATTTTTCTGAAAGCTGTGTTTTACTTTGTGACCACATTTTGTCACCCGACAAGAGGAGCAGCAGAGTTACAGTATGTGTCCTGTATTCCGGTGTAAAATTAATTTAGGGTCAAACACGCCATAACACCAAGTTAGACACCGCGTCGAGAGATGAAGGTTGATGAATGTCATCAACAGTACATATAGAGTCCCAACCACAGCACTAGCCACCAAACATCTTTTTAGCTTTGCCTAATTTCTTAAGCAAAGAGACTAAACACAACTCACTTACTCTCTTCCAGCAGCCGCTTGTTTGTACGGAGACCTCGGGCCAGTCCATTACGGACTGCTGCGGCGTGACACAGCTCAAGGAAGAACATTTATGATAATTTCTTTATCATTTCCTTTAAGTAATAATCATTACATTAATCATTTTGCACTGCAGACACGGTAGTTCTTCTGCCTTAGTGTCTCAGTCTGATTGTATTTCCATGAAGAAATGATCATAAATATTTTTCCTTGAGCTTTCATTACTTCTGCGGTAATGGACTCGTGCTGTTCTTTGCATTATTTGTGGCTATAGAGTGGCATTTTGGTTGAGCACGTGGCTCTGTGATTTTCAACCAAGTTCTTGCACATGGCGTATTTTCCTCATATTACCCAATCATAGCTTCATATAACCTCCTCTTTCGTCTTGTAGTCAGAGAAGAGGCACAAAATAGGAGCCCGCTGTACTTTTTGAGCACTCCTCTGGAGAGATTAGAACAAAGTAGAACTGAGGCCCTCCAGGGTTGGTGAGGACAGGAAGGAGGACATCGACCTTGCTCCTGATCATCATGTGTTACAGATGGATGACTGATGGCAGTCACTCCACATTCTGGCAGATATCTCAATAACAAGCTCCCTGAATTCTCACACTGTAGTGTGTGTACACATGTGTGTGTGTAAAACGGATGAGAGAGAGACAGACTGGGAGAGACAGATAGACAGAGGGGGGATAAGAGATCTCCCCCAGGTTTAGACACTACCTGTCTTGATAGCAGATGGGGCACATCAGATAGAGAAGTCCTTATGGTGCACAGGGCTCTCAGCATGGGCAGGGTAGGTCATGTATACACACACATAAACACACATGCTCATGCACTTTTGTTCATCCTGTACTTTTTATGCTGGTGAAACAGGGCACAACGATGACTACAAAACAGGTAAAAAAAACAAACAAAGAAACAAAAAAACAATGATGGGCAAAATAGAAGGAGGTAACAGACAAAGTTATGACTTAATTATTTATTTATCTGTTTATTTGACAGGGACAATACATGCAGGCATTGTTACATCTAATTAAAGAGCAACTGATACTGTGGATATAGGACTTCTAGCCATGGCTAATTTGCAGTCCTTGTTCCTGGTTAGATGGCTGGAAATACAGCACATGATACATAAACCGCTCAAGAACAACAACATTACAGCAAGTACAGACAAGCAATCATATTTTTGCATATAGAACAAACTGCAAAGCAGAGATGAAACAAGCATTCACTTAATCACAAAGACTTCATCTCCTCTCTTTCTCCAATGCTCCTCCACTTCAATCCTTTTTTTTTCGCTCCTCTCTCCGTGTCCACCCAACTCTCCTTTTATTGTTTCCTTCCAGCTGTACCCTGACAGGCCTTTGTGTTGACTTTTTGTGCGATTAGGAGCCTTACTGTTCCTTTCTTCTGACTTTGCCATGCAGCATGTATTAACTACACCCTTGTCAGCATCTATCCCTCTCTGGAGTGTTGTCTCAGATCTGTCAGTGCTGTGTGAGTGGAAAAATAAATAAATAAACACACTCTGGAAAAACAGAGCCGTCAGCTCCAGCAGCTTATGGCTGTCTTTGATTCCTACAAACACTTTCACACTTCTCCGCTTGTTGCCTCCTCTTATCTATTCGATAGATGAGGATATTGATAGTGAGAGGCATATGGCATGTCTAACTGTAAAATTATGGCCTATGACGGTGATTACAATAACCGCTGCCTCATTCTGACAAATATTTTCCGGAACTGCATTTATATTCATTTGTATTTTAATGTCCTCTGACACAGGCGGTTTCTCTTCGAATTTACATGGAGCAGGTTTTAGGACCATCTTTTCTTAAATGGAGCCTCAAAGCGCTTTTTAATGGCTCGTCAACCCCACACTCATTTATTAGTGTTAGCAATCCTCTGACTCACACAGTGACTGTGGGTCAAGTGGAGTGGAGTCCACAGTAAATTCACTCAGCTTTATCTCTTGCACTTGCAATTTAAAAAATGCACGGGGCTCTTTAAACCTCAGCACATTGTCGATATTCCTTTGTCCTTTTTGCACAGAAAAGGAAACACATCAAACTTAGAAAAATTAAACAAACAGGAAAATATTAATTTAAAGGGAAAGCCAGGACTTGGATTAGAGCCTCTTTTCAAGACAGTCTTGTAGGGCTGTAACAATATTAGCAGCATCACTGTATTGCAAGAATAAAAGTCTTATTGATGATGTGTACTTGTGATGGTAAGAAATAGTAGGTCTTAAAGGCAAAATGTGTAGTTCTATGTGTGCCACAATAAACCATATTTCCATCACATCATGCTCAGGGTAGCAATACTAAAAACCTTAACACTTCTACAGTCGTCATCTTTAAAATAAACGATCTGTTTGTGCAAGTGTCTCTCTTTTCTTGTTGAATCTATGATCTTTGTTCAACAGGAAGTGGCTGAATGCTATTGTTGGCTGTGTTCTGGTGTAAGCTAATCGGCTGTCAAATGCATTTTTTAACTTTAAGAGGAGGTATTATGCATTTCTAAATGACCTGCCCCTAGCAATGTGTGAGGTGACACCTACAGTGGAGCAGAAAAACAAGAAACATGCGGCTTTTTTTGATCTGAAAATCATGTAAAGCTATTAAAGAGATACCAAAAAGGAAGTATAGAGTCTGGAAAAAAAGCATGATACCCCCTCTTTAAAATATGACCAGATCTCTGTTCTTATCATCTCTGTCTATAGCATGTTTATCTGCTTGTCAAATCTGTGAAATATGAAATGACCTCAGTTAGTCAGAATGTTCAGGTATATGACTTACAACCTGGAGCACTGTAATAATACATGATAATGAGATACAAATTTCTCACCCTAAATGCAGTGTCACAAGAAGAAGTAAAAATATTTAATTCCCAGCCAATACTTCAGAACTGCACAAAAAATTGGTGGTCAGCTGCTTGAGAGGATGGTTGAATGTGTGAAGTTGTCAAAATGTTGGCTAAATATTTGACTGTCTTCTGCTTGAGCAAAGTCTGCCAACTTTTCATAGCTGCCGCAGGGAGGTTTCCTCCTCCTCTCTAAGCGGCTTCAGTAACCTTTTCCCAAAAATCAACAAATATTAATCCAATGTTGGCGTGACTGTTAAAATTTGCTGGAAAAAAGCTTGTCAGCCAACTACACCAGGAGAAATATGATTAAACTATGAAGTGTTCAAGGCCTGGTTGGAAAAATAAACAAAACATCATGACTGGAAAAACAAATCTGATTTATTTTAGTTGCTTTAAAAGTAAAGCAATGGTCCACCCGTGTTAACAGGCTTGTTTTTTAATCAGCAGTGTGAGCAGGTTGGAATTCAAAATTTACCATCTTGGGTGACTGGGAGTTCATTTTTGTGGCTGTAGTATCATATCCCTCTCATTTATCGAACTGCATGGAAGTCATTATGCAGTGTCAGAAAAAACACAAAACTTAGTATAAAAAAAATATTCTCTCGACTCTTTCTCTCTCTCTGTCTCTCTTTCTCTCTCTCTCACTTTCTTTCTCTCTCTGTATCTAAAGTGTCTAACTTTTAGCTTGCTTGGATAGCGCTCTCAAACATGAAACCCCATGGCTCAAAGAGCTGTCAACACGCAATCAATACACTTCAATACACTTGGAGAGAGTGAGGGAGAGGCTGGGAGGAAGAGAGTGGACTGAAGCATCTGACTATGAATTGACTAATTCTTCGAGGGCTTTCAAATCTTAATCAGCTAAAGGTTTGTGCAATAAAGCTTGGGAGTTCAAAAGCCTACTAAGAAAAAGAAAAGCTTAATTTGAATCACTTAAATTCTAATGGATTTGACTTCAAACAGCCCTATCTGTAATTATTCAACATTTGATGGCACAGACATGTAGATTTTTGTGTGTGTTCCTTCCTTTAAATTAATCCCAAGAGACAGTAATTGGTCTGAACCAATTGTAATTACCAATACTGAAGAGTGTGCAGTGTCCTGGAAGCAGTTTGTACTCTGCAGCTATCTTGCTTAGTGCTTAAATAAGTATAAAACAACTGAAGGTTACAATGTGCCTCAGCTTTGAAGGATAAACCCCTCATTTAGAAACAGATGCTAACCTCCAAATTCCACCGCATGCGGAATGGTGGCGATTTTTGCCATCTGCCAAATCCTACTGGATGCATTTGTGAGGCAAATTTTGGACTGCGGGAATTGTGAGGACTCACAAGAACCCGCAAACTCACATGCAATCGCGCAATAATGAGTTGTCTCTCTAAAGACAGTCACATAACCATATAAGCAGAAGATTGTGTCCTTCCAGAGGGGAAAATCCACTCCACACACTTCTGTGGATATTGGGAATTAACCATGGGTAAGTGCAATATTTATCTTTATCTACAAAACAGATAATAAGCTCAACATTTTATGAGTATGTCTTTTGGAATTTGATACATTAACTTGAACGGGAATGATCAGCGACGATCGGTGCCAACAGCCTTTTCACCGCTGTTCTGCATGCAGGGGAATTTGGGGGTTAGGGAAAATAAAAAAATAACAAAACAAAACAGAGGGAAAGTTCACTGCCTGACATTGCATCACAGACAGCCCGGCGGCATAAAACATAATCAGATGATCTTCCAGGACTTAGTCTACTCCTCTCTAGGCACTATAAGGCATCAAAAACGGATCTATCTGCTCCCATCTGTGTGGCTGGAATTAGGCCAAGTGCCAGTGTTTCTTCTGATAAAAGCCCAACTCTATGATGAAGAAGCAAACTGCAGGTCAGATTGATGAGTTATAAGTGTTAGCATCTTTACTGATGAAGGGGGTTCAAAAATGGTTAAATGAGTCCAGATAAGTGAACCAACCAGCTCTAATTTATCTTCACTTAGAAATTAAACTGTTGGGAGCTCTCTCACATGACTGCACTAGAAACAAAGTATATAGCATTGCCTTGCATGAATGCTCTGAGGATTTCCTCAGCAACCCACACTATACATCCCATCTCCTCAACCCCGAAATTACAGTCCCAGTAATTACAGAAGTCTAATTAAGGCAGGACTGGCAGAGAATGGGGAAGGCATGCTCCCATGACATTTCTTCAACAAGAAAAATGGTATTCCATATTTAGCCGTGGTTCGGAAAAAAAAATGTGGCAGAATAATGGAAAAAGAAATATGGCAGGGTAATGAATATGGAACTCTGGAGAAACAGGCGTCCTTGTTTTAGCGGTCTCTGATAAATACTTCACTGTGTTTTGTGTGACCAAAATAACTCATTAAGAAAAATAATCTTCAGATGAGGTCACAGTGAAGCCCTCCAACAACATGAATCTGCATAAGTAGCGTGAAATTGTATAGCTTGGTCATAATGAAACCACCTACATGAATCAAAATGATTTCATCAAAGAAACGCACTTCGATTGGCCATCAAATTAATCTGCCAGCATCTCAACCTGACCCTGGAACTTACAGCTGTAACATGTTTTCACCTGCTCCTCATGTTTTTAATAAGGGGACCTTTTTTTTTTGGTTAACATAGTTATATGGACAGTTTATAAGTAACATATCCAGTTATTTTGAATAAATGTAAACATAATAGTCCTTAGAAAAACAACAGAATCACATTTAAGATGATTAAACAGTTTTGTGAGATTAAAAATAGATTTTTGTTTAACGTAGTTTTGCCATAAGTACTTCTAAGGGAAAAACTGAGTAACCATCTATATCAAAGTAGTTGTGAAATACCTTGCGTTTCACGTCAAATTTAACTGGGATTGTACCTGAAACCATGAAAAATGACACATGACAGGGATTATATTTCTGCTGTTATTTTTAACCATTATAATTTTACTATTTTTAATATTATCATTGTTTTTATTATCGTCATGATTAGCTGTATGTTGTAAATTTCCATCAGGACTCCAGTTGAAGTTTTGTATTCTCTAACCTTGTAAGATCCTAAGTCTTTGCAAAATCTTGGTCTGTGACTAAAAAAAACCCTGTGAAACCCTGTGTTGGCACACAGCCTCTAGATGTGAGAGGATGTCGTACGTCAGTCGTTTTTTGTTTTTTTTCATACTTCTGCTGTTTGCTGGGTCTTTATTGACATTGTTGATAAAAATTGGTGATAAAATTAGGGGCTGACTGATTTATTTGACAGTAATTGTTCGGAAACGACAGTGCATGACTTTCACGTTGTGCGCAGACATGACATTGTTTTCTACAGCTGAATCACTGAGGGCTGAGTCATCCAGGATCTTCTGTTGTGAGCTTCACATGCAAAACAGTGACAAAGAAGTGACAGGTCAACAAAACGGTGTCGGCCTGTGCCATTATGTCCTTCTTGAGTTGAGGGACCATTTTGCCCTCAGTGTTGAAGAGAAAAGGATTGCCTGCAAAATATGCAAGGCAGATCTCACTTATCTATGGAGAACACTGATAACACTGGCAACACTGCATGAAGGTTTGAAGAGAAGGTACAATGGATGTCACTCCTCTAACATAGGCTGTGACCTTCCACTAAAACAGTGCTTCTCAAAGTGTGGGACACACCCCGCTGGTGGGAAATGGAGACATGACAAATTTTAGATTTCATGTCTATCCTCTCAAATGCCTTTCTTTATTGACAATAAAGAGTTGGGATGCACCAAAAGTTCGGCCACTGAAAATTTTCAGCTGAAAATGGCTCAAAAGTGCCTGTTTTCGGACAAAAGACTTATCAATTTGGCAAAATGTATCTAACATGGCTAAACACAGAGTCTGTGGGTGAACAATGTTACTTTCATTTTGCAAGTGTGGCTTACACTAGAAGAGTCCACATTCCTATGCTGGTTACACATTTCTCCAGTACAGCTCGACAACTGTGGATGGTGGTGCTGGAGCTAACAGGTTTTAAAAGAACCTTGATTAGATTCCTGCAAAAAAAAGCAACACATATTGCTCACATCTTAGTAAGCTGGCCTTGATCCGAAATCAATTTACAATAGAAAAAACAAACACTGGTGCTGACATGATGCTCATGAGATGAAGGTAGCTTTGCACTTTACTAATATAACATGAGCCTTAGTTCGCATACCATTTGGCAACAGAAGGCGTCTTTGTGAAGGTTAAGCAGCCTTTAAAAAAAAACTCAGCAATGATATTGATGCGTGTTCTTTGGATTTCTGCATATATTATGCGCCAGAGAGCACTTTCTCGTGCGTGATCAGATGATGTGCATAGTGATCTGACAGCACTGATTGATTTGTCTCTTCCTGGCAGCCAGCTGTAATCAACAGGAGCTGGCTGCTAGATGAGAAAACACAGCAAGCGTCCTGCATGGTGACAATGTGGCTACACAGGCCGACTAAGCATTTTTTTTTTTCCCAACTACAAAAGATAACTAGAGAACTCAACATTTGGATACCCACTTTATGTCCTAAAATTGTATAGTTTTGGGTTTGAACTTTTATTTGGGGGATTTCTCATGGAGAATTACTGTTTTTGTGTTATGAACATTGGCTCAACTTAGAAGCAGTCTGTATTTCTTAATACTTTGATGGATTTGATGTTTAACACGACATGTTTTTGTATGCGGTTTGATAAAAAGTCGTGAAGTACCTTGTTTGAAAAAGAAAATTTCAATGGCACTTTCTGGGGGAACTTTCTACTGTCTCCTCACAAAAGCCCTTTGTTCTCCATATGGTACTTTGTTTAATTTTGATTTTAAGGCATGTTTTTTTACACCCACCCTTCTTTTAAACAAAGACTCAACATCCCATCTAATTTCAATATAAAGTTCCTGTGGGTGGATCAAGTCCTGTCCAGCTGAGCTTAAATTTTGTCTGCTGTTTTTTGATAAACAGTAGCACCCTCTCTTGCTTACTGTATATGTGTTTGTGTGTGTTTGGGAGGAGAAAGAGAGATGTGTGATTGGAAACAATACCATCTATCAGGCTAAGAGTATTTG